CGCGACGGCCTCCGCGTTTGCGCACCAACGCGAGCTGCCGGACGATCGCCGGGCTTTTTCGAGGATGGGGTTTGCCCGCCGCCAAGGCGTCCTGCATGAGCTGCCCAAGCCGGATGCTGATATCGCAATCCAGGAGGCGGGTTCGCGCCTCGGTGGGGTCCGCGAGGTAGTCGTAGACCGCCCGAGCCTCCGCCTGGGCGTGGGAATCCAACAAAAACTCCATCGCCATCAACGCGATACGAAATCGCCACACCGGCGGAATCCGCGCCCGCGCGAGGACGTTCTCGTAGTACCGCCCCCGCATCACGTTGTACACCCACATCACCCGCGATCGATGCCGCGCGCGGATCGCGCAGCGCATGACGTTGTACAGCACCTCCCCATCCCGCGCGATGTAGAAAAGTCGGGCGTTGCCGTCCTCGAAGATCGCGATCGCGTCGGCGAGCTTGCCCGCACTCACGCACGCGGCGGTGAGGGCGCGGTAGACCTCCACCGGCGGGACCCCGGTGATTCGTCGGTATTCCTCGCTCGCGGCTTTCAAATGGCCCTGACGGGCGAGCCGGAGGACCTTCGCGATCAACGGCGCCTCGTGCACGGACGTCGCGATCTCGCCGCCGTCCCCGAGCCGCGTGGAGCGGCGGAAGTAGTGATCCTCCTGGAAAAAAGGGCCGCGGCGAAGCCAGCGGTAGATCCGCCCTCGACAATCCAGCGTCGCGGCATTCAGCCCGACGCGGTTGGGGTCCTCCACGGTGATCTCCGCGTGATCCACCACCGCGGGCTTCTGAAGTTTCCCCACGTACGGATCATAGGAGTGGAGCATGTCGTGCGTGACGCGATGCCCATTCCGCGCGCTCATCAGGGAAACAGGCGTGACGAGCGCCTTCGATCCAAGGGAGATGTCGGGCATGTACTTCTCAAGCTCATGCTTCGGGATGAGGTGGACGGTGTGATCCTCCATCACGTGCGTGCGCTCGGTGCTGTAGCCACTGTTGAAGTTCCCGGGGCCGGAACGGTAGCGACCTTTTCCCCAGAGCTTCGCGAGATCCTCCGGATCGAGATTTTCGCGGCCGAAGCGACTCGGCTGCCACGGCACCCGGGGACGTGGGATGTACTTGAGGATCGCCGTCGCCGCTGGGTGCCCGGTAGCCCGGCCCTTGGAGAATACTCCAGTAATTGACATGGTCTTTTCTCCCTTGTCGTTTGATTATTTTTCTTCCCACGATGGGGGGGTTCGGTAGTTATGTCGGCCTATTTCAAGCTTTTACAGGTGTGGGGAACACAAATTATCCACGCTTTTCACCGAATCAGGACAATCCTCGCTAAGGATTATTGGATCGAGACTTGATGTTATTCCCCCTAAAATATATAAATATAAATATAAATCAAGATATGTTCAATTCAGAGGGGCAAATGATACAGCGCGATATATTTGATTGCACCGATTCGTTTTTTCTGTTTACACAGACACTCTTCTTTGACTCCTAGAATACTATTTGAGTTTTATGCCATGGTAAGGGGGGATAAGCAACAAGAGGGGACGAAAAGCCTGTCACGTGCGCTGAAAAGTGTTCGATGAAATGCCATACTAAGTTTTTTTTTTCAAAACCTCAAGTGCTTACCTTTCAACGTGATCAGCGTACCATATACACATGGACGCGTTGATATATGTCGTGGCTCCACGCCATATATCAAATTTAAATTAAACTCTCAATTTATCCCTCTTCAAAGCATTATTCAATTCTGTGCAAAACAAAACTAAGCATTTCGTATTGATGCTGACAACCGCATCATGCTTCCTGTACTGCTTCCTCCTTAAAAGCAAGTTACGTATTTTCCGTCAACAGTTTTTTGTCCTCTTTCGATTCTAAGAGCTTTGCTGCAACCAAGATGTACCATCATCACTACACAAAGGTTCCTCTTTTTTTTTTTTGAAGAATTCTATCAAACGTGTTTATATTTTAAAGCATTCATATTATCTTCGCGCGAGAAGAACTCTTCTAGGCTTTCATTTTAATCTAAATTCGTCATACCAATGGTCTTTTCTTTGTGCCCGATTGCATCCCACAATTTGGGATGCTAACCCACTTGACATTTCGCCTTGTTATCGCTTATATGGGTTGGACAATGATAATGGGGCAGAGGTTGGTGCTATCTAGTTCCCTTTGTTGGGATCTGCTTCTAATGAATCGTGTGCGCGCATCCGGAGTGTATGAACCGCCCCAATTCGGGGATGATAATGCGATCTACCCTGACCATTAAATCTCGAAGCTCGGGCACTTTGCGCCGCAGCGGCGTTCGCGGCTCGCTTTTCAGCCTCCGCCTGCGCTAGCGCGTGCACAAGCTCGTCAACCTTCTCGACGAGGGCGCAATTATCGCCGTGAAACTTATCCCGCACGGCTACGCATTGCTCGAGCTCCTCCTCCGTGCTGCGATTGCGGCACTCCAGCTCTGACAGCTCAGTGCGGAGCTGCGACAACGTGGTATCCTGCGCTTCCAACCGCATTTTTTGCGTTTCCAGGGCGGCTTTCAGCTCCTGGCGCTCGCGCTGGATCACGTCGCGTTCCGCTGTGATCGCCTCAATGCGCTTTTGCAATTCCCCGACGCGGAGCTCGGCGGTTGTGCGCCCGTCTTCCGCCTGCCGCAAGGTCGCCTCTAATTCCACCACTTTGGCGGTGTGCACGTCAACCTGCGTCTGCAACTCTACCACACGCCCTTGCATCTCTTCAATCATTGCCTCGAAATCCTTAACAGCCTTCAGACCATACCGGCGGACGATCTCACTCATCGGATCGCGGCTCATGGCGTCAAGCTGCATTCGAAGCGCTTCCTCACGGAGCTTCCACGCCGCTTCACTTCCTTGAAGCCGCTCTATTTCGCGCTCTTGGACCTCAACACACGCTTGAAGTTCCTGTATTTTCTTTTTGGAGGTGATCCACGGCGTTGCATCCTCGTCCTCCTCGCTCTTTTTATCGGCAGTCGTGTCGTCCAGCGCGGATAGGTCCTCCCTTCCCCCTTCGAGGTGGTGCGGCATCCCAAGCCCCTTCTGAGCGATGAAGTATAGGGCCTCTTCGAGCCGATTTTCCGTTTCCTGACACTTCTGCACCGCTTGGCGCAGCTCCGTGTCCTTCTTCAGGAGTTCCGCTTTGGTCTGGCCGAACTGCGAGAGGAGATCCCGCATGCGAGCCTCAAGCCCTTCACACTCCTCCCGCATGACGTGCACAAGCTGCGTGTGGGCCTCGACCAGCGCATTGCCTGGGTATAAACCCAACAAAGTCGCTTGCGTGCGATCTTCTGAGAGGAGGATGTGCTTAACCTTGCTGAGTTGTTGTTCTAATTCGGTGTTGTGCTTCTCCATATCGGCAAGGACCTGCACACGTGCTTCGGCCTCCTTCACAAGGTTCACGATTCGCGACTTGTGCTGCGTGCACTCTTGGACCAGTTGCGCATTATGGAGCTCTTGGTTGGCTAACCGGAGATCACGTTCCTTCACGGTGGCTCGGTTCTCCTCGACAAAGGCACTATAACGTTCCTGGTAGTGATTCAGCTCCGCACGCAGATTTTCTTTTTCTTGGTTTGCACTGGCAAGCTGCGCGTCTCGGTCTTCGATGGTGGCCCGCGCGGCGTCAAGTTCGGCGATCATGCCTTCATATTGTTCGCGTGTCCACATCGATTCGATGCGAGCCTCTAGACTTTTACGAGCGGCCAGGGCATCCTCACGCTCGACTTCCAACTGCCACATGCGCGCGCTCAATTCCACGTGCCCATCCCTCTCCTTGTTGAGCTCTTCGGTGAGCCGTACGAGCTTGGTCTGCGCTTTAGCCAATTGTTCCCGTAGGTAGCCGCATGTGGTGTCGTCAATATCCGAATCCTGATCGAAATAGATGTCCTCGACGCCATCTTCGACCCCGTCGACGACGTGTGGTGACCCATGGGGTCCCTCTTCCTTCCTTCCTGCGAGGGCATCCCGAACTTGCCGCTCGAGGATTTCTAAATCATAGCAGGATTCGCTGCCAATCGCGGTCGACGCAGGGAGTCCTTCCACCGGGGCGAGCTTGGCGGAGGGCAAGCTGGGGGCCACGACGGGGGATCTACTACTGGCAGCCCCAGCGCCGGCCGTTAGAGTTTTAGGGAGCGGAATGGCGGAGCTGATTGCCGGCCCGTTAGGAGAAAGCACCAAAGAAGCACCCGTCGCCCCTACCGAGGCGTTTAGTTGCTGCTGACGTAACGCATTTTGGACCTTCGCGGCTAATTGCCGCAACTTTTTCTCCTTGCTCGCGATAAAATGCCGTTGGCGGCGCTGAGCGGCCTGATAAGCCCGCAGAGTCGTATCCTCCTTGTCGAGCGCAATCTGAAGCAGCTGCTCGACGCGTTCCAATAGCGCAACCTCATCGAAACTCGTGAGCAGGGGCAACCCCGTGGAGGAGGTCGTAGCTTCACCAATATCAGCCCCACGGGGGCGCTTTCGGCGGTCGGAAGCACTCAGCGCCGGGCTCACCTCACGCGGCTTCGGTCGACTCTTCACGATCTCACCAAGCAGCTCTCGCAGTTCTTGCACCGCCTGCTGCAGGATCTGCTGGGAGGTCCTCCAGAGACCCCCCTGGAGGGTCGCCTCGGCTTCCTGACGCGCTCTCACCAGCTCGACAGCCTGCCGCGCAATCATCCCCGCTTGTGAGGCGCAGACCTCCACCAGTGGCTGAAAAACCGCCTGCTCGGCGAGGCCACCGTTCTCGTCTTCTTTGGTGCCCTCGAGCGCGTCGAGGTCGGCCTCCGTGGCGTCCTTCGCGTGGAGAACCCGCAGCAACGACGCGGCGAGCCCCCCATCCAGGCGTGCCGTGCGCGCGTCGTAGTGGTGCAGTTCGGTTTCGATCAACTTCATAACGGCATTTTGAATGCCCACGGATAGGGCATGGGCGTCCGTGGAGTCGGGGTCGGATGAATTCGCACTTTCATGGGATTTGCCGCCCTCATCCGGAGTCGCCGACGGGGTCGTGCGGAGGGTCTCCTCCTCCACCACTTCCTCCCCACTGATAGCCTCACTCGGTGAGGAGGAGATCGCATAGCGGGTCACCGTGGGGTCCTCACCACCAGGGCTGGTAAGGGAACTTCGCGTGTGAGGGAACGCGGCGTTCTCGTCGTATCGAACGCGCTTGTAAGCGAGGTTGCTAACGTATTCGCCGGGCTTTTGCACAATGGATTGGGGTGCTTCGTCAGCGGTCGCCGCCGCCTTCGACCCCACAGGGTGGGGCTCCGCGCGGGCTGGAAGGCGGCCCAGTTGAGCCTCCAACGCATCGGCGCGCTGCGTGGCGATGTAGAGCTCCTTTAGCAGTTCCTGATTGCGAACCACAAGCTCCGAGACGGTGTTCACGGAGTACCGATCTAACTCTTCATCCGCATCAAGCAGCGCTAGGGTGGAGATAAGATCACCATGTTCACGAGCAGCACTTGTGCGCTTCGGCGACACGACTATCGCGGAAAAGGCTGGATCCATCTGTTCGGTTTCTTCGTTCACAGGTAGCTTCAGGGGTTGGCCTGGTGGTAGCACGGATGCGAGCTCGGCGTTGGAACCCTGCCGGGAAAAGGAGCCCTCATGTGGGTCCAGGAGCAGGTGGCTTGAAGGTCGCCCATAGGCCACGCCACTCAGTTGATCACACGCTGGAAGCCTCACTGCACGGGGCTTCCCCCAGAAGGTTGTTTCCCCTCCAAAGTTCCGTAGCGTTACGCGCTGCTTTGGCATGCCAGTTGAGTTTGGTGGGGGAGACGAAAAGGTGTTAAGCGTGCGCCGTAAACCCCGCTCCACTCTAAGCTTATCAAACGGCAACCTCGACTCCCTTTCTTCATATCCTTCAGCAAACGGCAGAAACGGGACGTCCAATGATGCCAACAAGAATGACGACGTGGCTGCGGCGGGCGTCTCTTCTGTAGAGGAGGCATAGTCGATACTCATGGGTATCCCCCGGCTCCGCGTCGTTCCTGGTAAGCAGGAGGACGGGCTCTGAGAGGCGAACGAGGGGAGCAGGCTGTTAGGGTCGTTGATTTTCTCTGGACGAAAGGAGAAAGAGGACGTTGGAGTTTCCATCGAACTGCCTGAGGATTGCGAATAAGAACCGGGAAGCGCCGTAAAGGAGCTTGAACGCTCCATCATAAGGCGTTGCTGGAGGACCTCGCTGGCGATCGCAGCGGATTTGGCGGCATTCTTCTGCCGTACATTCCCCCCTTGACTGGGCATCGCATACAAGACACCATCCTCACCACTTCGTTTCAACCCCTTTCCACTGCGCTTCAATTCTCTGCGCAAATGTTCGACCTTGACGAGAAGTGAGGCAACCTGTTGGGAAAGCACACTATTGCGATACACCAAGGCCTGTGCATCGAGACGCAGCGCCTCGTTCACTTTTTGAAGGTCCTCAACGGTAGACTCCAGCCTACGATTCTCTGCGGTGATCTGCTCGAGGCGGCGCTCGGCTTCTTCACGACGATCCTGAATGGCGCGGTGTTCGGCAGCAGAGTTTGCTTGTTCATCTAGGTCCCGCAGCGCGCGATTCCACATCCCCTCATGCGGCGCATCCAACCCTTGCTCCTTGTTCTCATCCACAACGTGGTCATCTTCGATGAGGCGTGCTAGAACGTCTCGCAGCTCTTGAGAGGAAACCGCGTTGGCGTCCCGAGATGCCGCCTCCTCAGCCGCCTCCGGACTACGCAGCCTTTCAAGATCCTCCTCCAGTTCCGCAACCTTGAGCTTCATTACCTCGAGCTCATACGTGGCCGCATCGCGCGCCTCAACCGCGCTCTTGTATTCTTCTAGTGATACCGCCGACAGCTTCAACATGTCCAATTCCTCGCGGCACTGAGTGTTTTCGTCCAGGGCGCCTTGGAGCGCGTTTTCGAGCTCCGCCATACTCTTTTTCCAGTGCTCACGGTCATCTCGGAGGATCTGAACTACGGCTTGAGCCTTGGCGTGGCTCGCCAGGAGACTGACCATGAATTGTTCATTTCCTGACAGCTGCATGTCATCATCCTTCGCACCCCCTTCTAAATTTTCTCTATGGAATGCTTCTGGCGTCGTTTGGGGTGCGAGCACCGCCGTGATATCGGCATCACTGACAGTTTGGTGTCCGATTCCTGCCGCTATCGGGGCCATATCTTTGGCTTCGATAAGGTCTCCGCTCGGCTGCGCGCGGTCCTCTTGCGAAGGTGCGTCATCCGCGCCACCGGATGGGCAGGGCTGCTCTAAAGCGGTTCTTACAGCGAGCTGGGAGGCTTTTTCGATCCCACCGCAGGCTTCCACGATCGTGTGAAAAGGGAAAGGATTTCGCTTCATCTCGTTGAGCTGCCGCGTGAGCTCCTCCACAGCTCCTATGCTTTGTTCCAATTGACGATGTAGCTCCATATTTCTCTCGGAGGCGTAGTCCATGTCGCGGCTGTGGGCTTCGATGAGCTCTTGCACGGCCTTGCAGACCTGAACTGCCGAATCCTCAAGGGCCTGCCCTACGAGCTTCGTGGCTATCTGGTTATGGTACGCTTCGACAGCTTCCAGGGCTCTTTGTTGAGCTTCCTTTACATCGTTGTCTCCTTGCTGGTGATATACAGAGGAGGAGCCAATGGACTGTTGTACAGGAGTCACGACCCTATCTACGGGATCCCCGGGCAAGTCGTCGGATCCAGGTGCCTCCATCGAGGTCGATTACTTATACCTATGTATCTTTTTCCTTTTCAATGTAAAATCAATTGCTGTTCTATTTTTGTTTTTTTTGAGACCACAGAAATGAATCCTGAATAGATAAAAACGATCACTATCAATAACAATCAACAAAAGCTTAGAAATGTACCTAAAGTCATTTTGACAAGTCCATCTTCGATTCAGTTCTTTGCCTCGGAGGCTGTAAAAAAAGTATCTACTATTGCTTATTGTTTGACCACTTTTGTTGACATCTCCAATAAACATTACAAAAAGAAAGCATCAACGATGACAAAAACGCTTCAACTGTTTATTGAAGCGAAATATCGCCAAACACATGACTTTAATTTTAAGAGATCAATTCACTGCCTGCCGCTCATTGTGATGAAATAACTTAGGCGGATAGAAGTATTTCGAGATACATGAGACGATGAACGAAAGGATGAGTCAGGTTTCCGTGCTTGATTTGAGCGGTTAGCTTTCTTGTTCGCCCTTTTGATTTGAAAATTTACTAGTATCATTACCTTACTTTACCCTCTATGATTTTATAACATCGGAAAGGTATGGCTAATAAGTCCCGGTTTAGTTCTTTCCTTTACGCACCCCGCACGTCACGCCTTACAAGTCGGTTGACTTTACCCACCACCCTGTTTAACACTTCCCAGACCACAATCTATTGTCCCACGGAGTACAAAAAGCTATGGTGCTGCATAGCAAGATAATAAGATACTTGGAAGGCCACGAGGGAGCCCAGGATGGGAATTCTGTTAATGAAGCCCTTTATGAAATGCCGATAGATAAACTCCTTAATAGACGCCGTAAAGAAGGGGTCACGTAGGAAGTTGTAGGCCAAATTCCGTAGGGCCTGTTGTGAGCGAAGGCTATCACGTGAAACGACGGGCAGATCATAGACGAAGTCCATCCGTGCCCCTGGCGGGTTCCCAACTTCCTCAATAGACTCCGCCCCTTCCTCCTCCACGGCAGAATCATTGCCGTGGTGACTCCTCTCGGAGGTCGCCCGTATCCTCTCCACGCCGTCATTCTCTGGTGTGGAGTGGATATAGACCACGGGAACTCGATTCACCCGGATGAATCGCGCCGCTAGCAACACGAAGCCATCCAGGAACGCGAAGACGGCCCACCACCGCCAACTTGGAAAGAGCGTCTCAAATGGGGTGGCGGCCATCGTCGCTCGAATAATCCACTCCGGGTCTGCGGATTTGCTACCGGGTGCTTTGTCCGCGGCGTCGGGGTCCGGCTTTTCCGAATCCTCGACCAAACCATTGGCGTGCTTGGACGGATCCTGGTGCTGCGTTAGACGGGCGACATGATCGCCTGGGGAGCCCTTGAGAAAGCAACGACGCGCGACGCATACGAGCAGCAGCGGCCTTAACAACATAAACCCATCAATAACCAGGCCAAAAATATCAATCCACGTGAACGGGACCTCCGCACCGCCGTCGTCGCTGTCGGACTCCTCGCCTCGTTGCTCCGACGCGCTGTCGGCGCGGCGCCGCCGCCCCGAGATGACGCGTGGGATCACCAGTCGGGTGGCGTTCGGCCCGAGAACGCTCCCCATGACGCTCCTTGACGCCACCTTCGCCTTTTTAGCCTCGCCGGCGCCCTCGCCAGGGGCCTCTTTGAGCAGCAGCCGACGTGGAAGCCGCAGCACCATCCCCAGGACGCGTTTCACCGATCGCTTAATGGAGGCCCACATCCACGGCACGAGGAAGAGCTGGCGGTGCACGCACGCGTTGAGGAGGCATTTGAGGGCCTGCAGCGCGGCCAGGGCGTCCCACGCCCGGGTGTGGGAGGTGTACTTCCGCAAGGTCAGCTCAAAGAGGCACTCCACCTCCTGGATGACCTGTAATAGATAGATAATGACCTCCGAGCACGTCACACGGCGATAGGCCGTTTGCATAATTGTCTGATTCGAGAACTTGTGAACCTTAAATAGCGCGGAGAAGAACTCCATGCTAAGTAGGTTGCTATGATTACAGAAAATAAGAGAACCCGTGCGCGAGAGCCGTTCAAGACTGCTGGCGTTTTCCGGATTCGCACGCACCCAATTCACATACCACTGAAAGGGTTTCATCAGTGCCACTGTAGTAGAGGCTTGGGTTTGACAATTTGGAAAAGCCATCAGTAATATGTACAGCGATAAATATTTTTTTCTTCTTTCTACCCCTTGAAAACCTTAGGTGTGTTTCATTAATTTTGAATAGGAAGGGGATAATTGATGTGCACATGGATGTATCATCCACCGTTAAAAAGTATAATAATAGTCAATAAACCTGTTTTTTAAAAGTTTTTTGTATTTAGAAATCTAATCAGCAGAATACCCTTGAACCACTCAATAGTATATATATATATATATATATATATA